CTGCTCCGTTTATTGCCTCAGTAAAAGGGATGGCAGGGCCAGAGCCGTGGTAGTCCTCCCACAGAGGTGGGCTCCCGCCTGGCCCTCCATTTCTCCAAATTAATACTTTTCTAGTCTCTTTCATTTGTGTGCAGCCTTCTCCAGAACCCGAACCCTGTACCGGAACCCGGAACCACAGGGGATGGGAAAGGGGCTCCCACAGGTGTGGTCAGCAAACACCATTCGAAAGGGGCAGCATGGGGCAGACGGCTGCCAGCGGGCACCGTGCCACCTGCACACTGGGTAGTCTGGGTGTGAACGTGGACCCTCGTTTGTTCAATATCTGCCCTCGTCAAACAAACGTCTATGTGCCAGGAGCCACGAGAGCACGGTTTTGAGCTGGAGGTGCCCTCAGCCACCAGTCTGCCCCCCCACCCCCCTCCGTGGGCCTGCCCCTCGCCAAGCTCTTGGCCGCCTCTAGTGAACTGTGTTCCATCCACTGCCCACTGAGCCCTTCCCTCGCCCGAAGGCCACTCCCGACCCCCTGCTCTGTCCGCATTCCAAGTCCAGATTCCGTTCTTTGAGGGCACAGATATTTCTTGAGTCCGGGGTGGCTTGAGTCAAATATGACACAAACCCCCATAAGTAAACACTTCACCAAACAAAACCGACCTGGCATCTGCTAGACACAACTGCAGGCACGTGCCCCCTGCCCGCATGTGCCTTCCCTCTCCGGGGACCAGAAATCCCCTTGGCCCACCCAGGATGCACCTGGTCACACATTGTCATGTGGTCGTGTGGTCATGGAACTGAGGCGGTGGCGTGGGGAGGGCAGGATTTCAGCGTCCAGCAGGCGGGACGCACCGCCGGCTCCCCACCGCCTAGCTGGTTGACATTGATCCAATAACTTATGGCTATGAGCCTGCATTTTCTCTCTTTAAAATAAAGAAAATAACAGCTCATCAGTCTGTCCTGTAATCACCGCCAAAGTGTGTCAAGCACGCAGGTGCGGAGTGAATACGGCTCCTTCCTCCCGCTGTGACAGATGGGACTGTGTATCCCGCCGCACTGCCATCAGGGGCGGCGTGTGGAGTTGTGGTTCCCTTCGAGTGAGGGGCGCAGGCGTGTGGACACCCCGTGTTTGTGTACTTGTCCTTGTGGACGTGGCTTCAGACAGGAGGCAGGAGCGGAGTCCGGAGTTTACAAAACCTTATTAAGAACCCAAGCCAGCTCAGAGGCGGCGGAGGCACAGACTTCAGACCACTGGGACGAGAAGAGTGCGCCCGTCACGCAGCGTGATCACGTGACGTGGCAAAGGTCAATGACGCCAGCATGGTTCTGTGTTAATATCGGCCAGAGAGGGTCCGCTCCATTCGTTTAAAAATACGAAGAATTGCACCTTCCTCTTTGCGGGCACACAATCACAACCGCAAGAGCCATCTACTCAGAGCTTTGGATTCCAAATGTCACGTGAGATATCTTTTCACGGATAAGCTTCGAGATGCGACGTGGCAGCAGGGTTCGTGGCCGTCCGACGCTGACGCCAGAGCGGATGGCGTGTGGCTCCGTGGTCCCCGGCGGCCACTCCGAGTTATCTCCCCGTCACCAGCCCTCAGGCCGTGAAAGCCTGCGAGCAGCGCTTATTAATAATTCATTTGCTCCTTTTCTCCAAAGATGTGTCCACTCGCCGATCGGAGCTCCTGATCAGCTGGGATAGATACCCGGTGTGGACACACCGCACAGTACCGTCTGGCTCCTGCGCGGCCTTATCTCAGAGCCACGTCCCACCAGGCCCCGTGAGACACAGCCCGGCTCCCAGACCCAGGCTATTGTCCCCCTCCCAGGGCCGATGCCCAGGAGGGGAAAGATCCTTTTGTTGCTGGAAACGGAGTTGTGGAGTTGTGTCTTATCGATGCATTTCCCGTTTGATGCCCGCTGGCCTGCTTGTAGTCATGGGGTGAATCAGAAACTGATCGTGGAGCCGGTCAGAGCTGCCCCTGAGGTACAAGGACGCAAACACCGAGCCAGGCCGTGCATCCCTGCCGTGCTGCTCGGGGTGGTGGGACAGAATCGGGGGGCTCTGCACACGGCTCCATGCAGGCATTTACTCCCCCATCTCCATCCCCCCACTCCTGTGCCTCCTTCAGAGCACTTCCAGTCAGGCTCTCGGTTCGCCAGCCCCGAGCGCGTTCCTCTCATCCACTGGCCGGCGCCTCGGAGGTCAACGGGCTCAGTGACGCCACCTACAGGCCGAGGGGCCCACCCCCCAATCCAGAGGCTGCAGTCCTACCGCCCCCTCCTCCGCCCCCCCTCTGTATGGACACGGGCCTCTACGGGAAGGGGGTTAGAATGAGGTCATAGGGACTGGCTCCAACCCGGCATGGAGGTGTCCCTATAGCAGAGGAGATGAGGACCCGGCGTGCACGAAGGGGTGACCCTGAGCGCCCAGAGGGAAGGAGAGGCCTCGGGAGGGTCAGCCCGCCCACCGCTGCGCTCAGCCTCCCCCTGCAGGCCTGTGCCGGCCTTTCCGAGTCCGGCCACTGGCTGGCGCTGTTAGGACAGCTGTCCCCAGGAACAGGCCTGGGAGGCACGTGGGATACCACCCACCCCTGAACAACACAGCCCACAGGCAGGTGTCCCCTTCAACCCGTTCAGAGCCGGGCGCCTGCAGGTGCAGGGGTAGCGGGAACCTGGCCTCCTGGGAGGCAGCAGGGACCTCGGCAGCTGGGCTCTGACTTGGACAAACAAGGGAAGCCGCACACACACACCCTGGACGGGTGAGGATGCCCTCGCTGCCAGCAGGGGCTGAGGGACCTGGTGGGAGCAGGACTGAGGCCAGCCAGGCTGTGAGGGGCAGGGAGAGGCGGGAAGGGCGGTCTGAGTACAGGGAACCTGGGGCAGAGAGGGACAGAGGGACCTGTGCCCGGAGGGAGGAGCACTGAAGGCAGGGCCATCGCGCTTCCGGGCACAGGGCAGGACCGGGCTGTCCTCCTCCCTGCAGACCCAGCCCAGCCCCACCACCATCTCCTCCTCCGGGGGAGCAGAGATCAGGGCCCCAGCGCCTGTGTGCCCCCCCTTTCTCCCGAACAGGGCACCTCCCTCTGCGGGAAGGAGCGGTGCTCACAGCCTGACCACAATGTACCCCAACAGGGTTCAGGCGGGACACGGCTCCTCTCCCTTTCCCACAAGCCCAGGCCACACAGCCTGCAGGCCTGCGTTCTCGCTCTGCCCCAGCCCCGGCTCAGGCGTGTGGGCGGTGGCTGTGCCTGGCACCGGGCGCCATGACCAGTCTCCACTGTGCACCCCAGGGACCCCGCGGGCTCCTGGCTCACCCGACTTTCCCACAGCCACCCCCCGACACCTCTCCCTCAGCGTGACGGGAAACCAAACACAGACACCAGCTGACGGACACACAGCCCACCGCATGGGACACTCTTAGGAAATGACTGTGGAACGCCACGCAGGGCAATCAATAACAGATGTTAGTGATTCAAAACTAACCACGTGGCTTTGATCTGGTAACACTTAGGTTTTCTTATGAACTGAGATCTCAAGAGAACCGTTTTGTGGGGTCCCTCCCTGTGCACAGCCCTGTCCCAGGCCAGCGGGCAGTCCCTGCTCTGGGCCTCGCCAGCACCATGGCCGCCTCTGCCCTGCGCTGGTGCTGCACCCCAGCCCGAGGTCTGCCTGTGCCCGGACTCCTGCTCGCTCCTGGGTGTGGCCGGGGCCCGTCCACAGGAGTTTCTCACCAACGTTTTCTGTTTCTCCAAGGGCTGCCCCCGGACTGTGAGGACAGACAGGCTCGGCATCGGCTCCCAGGTGTGGGGAGCCTGGCCCCTTATCTCGCAGGTAAGAGTAAAGACTGGGGCGGGGGAGGGGGGAGGGGGGGCAGACTGGTTGCTGCAAAGCCAGAATGGAACTTCTTGGTTCCCCATCCCAGGGTTCTTTCCACACCTCCTGCTTTGTACAGACCTATACCTCCCGCTGCCTGTTTGCACAGCTTTGGGGGTTCAGTCACAAGCGGGCCACCCTGGGTGCACCCCGCGTCTGTATTTCTCGGTGTTGTGGCCTGGGGACCAGCAGGATTTGCCCCCCAGCCCCTCCCCCATAGCTCTGGGGACTCTAGGCCCCAGGACCCTTCCGCTGCCCAGGAAATCCTGGCCTCCCACGTCCGCGGGCCGAGGCCAGGCAGCCCTGGCTCGCGCCTCCCGGGGTTGGAATGGCTGGGCCGCCGGCAGGTGTCTCCCGGCCCTGGCAGGAGCCAGGGCTTCCCTGTTCCCTCGGGGCTGGGCATGCATGTCGGGCAGCACCACCCTCCTAAGGTTACAGCTCCTGGGCTGCTGGCCTCTGGGAGCAGAAAGCTGTGCTGCGGACAGCACGGCCTCTAACAGCCCTGAGCCTCGGCTTCCTCTTCCCCAGGCACGGAGGGAGGTGGCAGCCGGAATGGACGTGGCGGAAGGTGAACGCCAGCCTGGAGCCTGGCGCCCACAGGCCCCGGAGGGCGGACGCTCAGACTCTCACGCTCTCGCCTAAAGGAGAAGGTTTCTACCTCAAACTGGCTTCTGCTGGCTGACCGCTGTGTCCGGGCAGCGAGGAGCAGCGCTGTCTGTGTTCCCAGGACCGCCAGGACCGCCAGTCTAGGGAGTGGCTTGTGTATGGGATCCTGGCCTCGCTGTGCTGTTAGCTCAAGAGCAGACCCCAAAGGCCCGCACGGGCACGCAGGTCCCGTGTTTGGAGGCCGGTGGAGGTGCCCAAGGCCGGGCGTTAAAGGGGCAGCAGAGGCCTGGATCCCTGGAGGGTCAGCCTGGGGAGGCCGGGCCTCGCCTTCAGAGCGGCCTCCCGCCCAGGGGGCCCGTCCCCGCCCCGGGAAGGCCGCGGGGTGATGCCCAGCCGCCGCTTTGGAGAGGGTTGGGGCGGCGATGCCCGCCTCCGGAGCAGAGCGGAGGGCGCCGCTCCCCCGCGGGGCTCCCCTCCCTCGGCGGGCCTCCCCTCAGGCCTCCCCTCGGCGGGGCGGCTCTTACCGCGAACTCCTCCAGGAGCCGGTAGGTGCGGCCGCGGAACTGGCAGCGGGCGCGGCGCTCGCGGCAGCGCGGGCAGCAGCGGCTGGCGTCCACGCGCGCGCAGCGGGGCGGCAGGCGCGGGCAGGCGGGCGGCGCGCACAGCGGGCCCTCCTCGGTGCACAGGCAGGGGCAGGCGGCCGGCCCGGGCGCGAACCGCTCGCCGATGGCGAACACGAAGCCGCTCTCGTCCACGCAGCCCTTGCCGCGGTAGTCGGGGTACGCGTACTCGTCCGGCGGCTCCGTGGCGGCGTCCGTGGCGGCGGCGTCCGGGGCGGCGGAGGGCGGCTCCGCGGGCGGGGGGTCCCCGCGGGGCCGCGCCTGCAGGTCCCCCGCGCCCCGGGCCCAGGCCTGCCCCGGCCCGGCCCCCGCCTCCCGGCCGCCCTCGTCCCGCGCCGGGCCGCCCCGCGGGCCGGGCTCGCAGCCCTCGGGCGCCGGGCTCCCGGGGCCGGGCGGGCCGGGCGGGGCGGGCGCCGGGGCCGGGCCCTCCAGCGGGCGCGCCGGGCCGCCCAGGGCGGCCGCCAGGCAGCAGGTGAGCAGCAGCGAGCGGGGCAGCGCGCCGCCGGCCATGGCGCAGCCGCCCTACGGCCTCCCGGCGGGCGGCGAGGGGCCAGGCGCGGTCACCGCCCGGGGAGCCCCGCGGTCCCTGCGGAGAGAAGAGCAGCCTGAGCGGCCCGTCCCCGCCGCCCGCCGCCCGCCGGCCCGCAGCTCCCGCAGCGCCGGGGCGCGGGCAGCGCGGAGCGGCGGGGAGGGAGGAAAGGGGGGCGCATCCCGCTGCCGGGCCCTCGCCCCGGGGACCAACCTGGAAGCCAAGTTCCCACAAACCCGCCGCGTCTCCCGCGGAGTCTGACGGGCAGGGAGTCCGGGCCCAGGGCACCGCCAACCACCCCCCCCCCAAACCTGGATGGACCCACATCATCCTCCCGGGCCCTGGCCGCATCCTCACGGGCTCCCGTGGGGAACCCCCTGGCGGAGTTGGGGGCGCAGACCGCTCTGGAAGCAAAGCGGGGACCCCCACTCCCCCTGATTCCCCCGGGACAGAGGCGCGTTTCCAACAACTTTTAAAATGCGTCCTGGGGGGGTCCCCCCTTCCCGCCTCCTCCCGGCCCCGGCCCAGGAGGCTGTCCGACCCCCCACCCCCCAGGATGGGGGTTCCTAAGCTCCCCCACCGGCCCCAGCACCCAGCGGCTGCTCAGTACTGGGGCGCAGGGAGGGACCCGGGGGGCCGTGCGCTCTGCGCCCAGCGGTCCTGGCGGAGGAGCCCGGTGCCGGGCCCCTAAAGCGGGGGCAGCGGAGCGGGGGGTGGGGGAGCAGGCGGGGAGCCTCTCTCCACCCCGGTCCCCGGAGCCTTCCGGACCCCAAAGTTTCCGCCGCCCGAGGGCCCGGGAGAACCCAGACGCCGCAAGGCGCGGGCACCCCCCCCTCCACCCACCCACCCTCTGGGCGCCCCGAGCTCCGGGCTCCCACCCTTCCCGGCTCCGGGCTCCGGGCCCGGGCTCCGGCCCAGCGCCACCCGCTCCCCGCGCCGGCTCCTCCGCGGCGCCGGTCCGTGTTTACAAACTCAGCGCTGCGGGAGGCCTGGTGCCGGGTGGACTCCACTGCGCCCCCGGCCCATCTCCACCCCCCTCCGTCCCCATCCCCCCCCACCCCATCCCACCGTCTCCACCCCAGTCCCCTTCCCCTCCCACCCCCATCCCACCGTCTCCATCCCCGTCCCCGTCTCCATCCCTGTCCCACCCGGTCCCACCTTCTCCATCCCGTCCCTGTCTCCATCCCACCCCCGTCCCCGTCCCCAGGCGGCGCCCAGTCACCTACATGACCGCGGGCTCCGGGCTCCGGGCTCCGGGCTGCGGGCTGCGGGCTCCGGGCTGCGGGCTGCGGGCTGCGGGCTCCGGGCTCCTGGCTGCGGGGCGGGCGCGGGGCGCTAGGGAGGAGGGCGGCCCCACCTGCGCCCCGCCTGCCCCGCGGGCTCCGCCTAGGGCGCCTCCGGGGGCCGGTCCGCGGGGCCTGACCCGCACCGGAGCCCCCGTCGCCCTGCGCGGCGCATCCCGGGCCCGGGGACCTGGCTCCGCCCCCGGCGGGGCTCCCCCCGCAGCCGGGCTGCCGCCGCGGGTCAGGCGGCGGAGACGCGGGGGGACCCGGAGGAGCAGCGCGCGGCCGGGCTCCCAGGCCGCCTCCGGCCGCCTCCGGCCGCGCTCCCCGCCGCCGCCTCCCGCCCCGCGCGCTCCCGCTGCCTCCGCTGGCCCGCGCCGCCCGGTGTGGGGACCCCGCCTCCGCCCCCTCCCGGAGGCCACCGGCCGGTCCCCCCTCCGCTGCAGCGGGGCCATTCCCCTTCCCCTGGCGCTCACCCGCTTCCCACCGGACCGGCCATGGGATTCTCTCTTCTTCCTCCTTTCCTTCCTCCTTCCCGGCTGGTCCCTGGGCTCCATCTGCGGACACTCCGTGTGCTCCTCAGAGACCCGGGCTGCCTCCCCTGGGGCACCAGGAGGCCGGGTTTGCTCAATGGGCAGCTAGGAGCTCCCCTTTGCCTCCCGAAATGTGCTAGGAGGAAACTCATCAACACCCCCTCAGATCCTCCCAGGTCCTCCCAGGTCCCCCCAGGTCCTCCCAGGTCCCCCCAGGTCCTCCCCAGGTCCTCCAGGTCTCTGCGCACCCCACTCCACAGCCCCCCCCCCTCCTGCCCACAGGAACGTGGGTGATGAACTTGGTTGGAACGGGACCCCCAGGCAGAAGCCTGTGTGGCTCAGAGGTGTTTGGAACCTTGGATCTTGGTCAAGAAATGTGCTACCTTTTGGGGTGAATGGGGGGAAATAGGCAGCTGTCCGAATTCACCTCTAAAACGGAGCTTTGGGGGGATATCTGTGTCCAGGGCACTGGTTCCCACTCCTGTGTCTTGGAGTCACTGAGCATGCTCAGATACATCAAGGGGAATCTCTCCCACAATTCCTCCCCCTCCCTGCACCCCCATAATGGAGCAACCAATCTTAGGTGCTAGAAGGACAGGGGGGCCTGGAGGCTTGGCAGGGAGCCCTGCTCTGGCACCAAATAAAAGGGGGGTTAGGTGTGATGATGAGCAGAGCGCGGGAGCCAGATGTGATGATGGCTTCCAGGGGCGTGCATACTCTGCCTTTGCCCCTCACTGCCTTTCTGCCGCCCCAAGGCTAGAGCAGGCCAGGCTGCTGCCCTCCTCACCACAGCCCTGCACCCCCGCTCAGCAGACTCCATGGAGGCAGGCCCCAGTGGTGTCCCAGGCCTGGACCAGCAGGCACTGGGCCCGGAGGCCAGGCTCTTAGACCCGCCAGCCTGCCACAGGGACTGGACGTGTGTTCACCGGAGCAGGCACAGGCACACATGCCTGGAGGGGGCGGGTCCTCCCTGGGAGAAGGAGGAGGGCAGCTTCCTCCGGAGGGAAGGAAGACCAGGTGCTCTCTGTGGGCTGCTGTGGGTGCACAAAGCAGGCCGGCTGCTGAGGGACCTGATTCTGCCGTGCTAGGCTCCCAGGGGCAGAGGCAGCTCCATTCCGCCCAAGTGCCCCCATCAAACTGCCCAGGGAGCCTTCAACAGCCCTCCCCCCCCTCATGTACAGTCCTGAGCATGTGCAGGGCAGCATTGCACACTCAGAATCCTCTCTCTCCCCAGCCCAGGCCGCACTGGGAGTCACTCTGTGCCCAGTGTCTGGCTCCCGCCCGTCCCTGGCATCACTGGGCCATGACGAAGGCTTATCAGACGAATTAGAGGAGAATCACGGACAACAGGACACCGAGTGCTTTTCTGGTCTTGCCTTTGTCTCCATCCCTGTCCCTCCCCTCCTGGCTCAGCCTCAGAATAATCCTGGGAAATCCTGCAGCTCCCCTCCCTCTGCCCTCTGCCCCTCCTCCCAGGCGCCTCCCCTTCTCCCCCTCCCCTGGGACTATGCAAATTAGGTTTTGTCTCCAGGGAAAGAGAGGGACTCCATTCTTCCATCAGGGGCCTAAGGCAGCCTGGAGGTGCCGGTTGTTCTGGACGATGAGTAATTCTTGTTCTATTGCTCTGCTCTGGCTTCTGTGTCTGAGTCACCCCCTCTTCTGCAGGTTCCCCTGAGGGCGGAGGGATACACACCTAGTCCCCATCACTGGCCAGAGAACGGGTGGCTCGGGCCACCAGAATGTGACTCTGGGACAAGCTTCCCCATCGCACTCGTGGCGGTGGGTGATCTCAGGTCCCCCGAAACCAGCCTCTGTTTCATTCTTTACAGCAAGGTATTCGCTGTGGTCCATCCTGGGGTGGTTCTCATTCTTCCTTCAGGAAACTAACTTGCCAGCCAACATTCGTCCCACCGGAGATTTACGGCCTGAGCCTGGGGGCACTGCTGCCAGCCTGGGCCCCTCAGCTGGGCCCTCAGCACCTCCCGCCCCGGCTCCAGGTGGAAGCCCGGTCACTAATGCGTATTCGTGGAGAATGTGTTTTCAAAGATACCGAGGCCGCCTTCCAGGCTACATTCAGAGCCTATTCCTTCCCTGTGCCACGAAGACGCTGTTTCTGTTCGCTCACCAGAAGTTTACTTCTTCATGTGCACCCAGTCAACCCTCCCAACCCATGGCGTCTGCCTTAGCGTGGAGCCCACCAACCCGGAGGGAAAATATCGGGAACCATTCACATCGGTGCTGCAACTAGTTAGGCCTCTGGGGCAGCGGTCGGCAAACTCATCTGTCCACAGAGCCAAATACCAACAGGACAACGATTGAAATTTCTTTGGAGAGCCACGTTTTTTAAACTTAAACTTCTTCAAAATAGACTCACCCAGGCCGTGGCATTTTGTGGAAGAGCCTCACTCAAGGGGCCAAAGAGCCACCTGTGGCCCTGGAGCTGCAATTTGCCGACCACTGGCCTAGGTGTTTGCATCGCTGGCCATTGTTTCCTAAGCAACGTGATCGGACAGCTGCTTACGCGGCGTGCACAGTGCATTAGGGATTGTAAGGAGTCGGGGGACGCGTGTAGGTTAGTGCACATAGGACACCCTTTTATAGGAGGGCCTTGGGCACCCAGGGGTGTTGGTGACTGCGGGAGGTGGGTCCTGGAACCAACCCCCCGGGTGCGGAGGGAGCCCGGCCTACTTGTAAGGGAGGCTGTACCCAGGGAGGCTGCACCCAGCCGGCTCGCTCTGGCTGTGCTTAACTGTTTGCCACCCAATCTCCTCTTCCTGTGCCACACATGCTCACTGGACCTTCCCCCAGGGAGCCAGTCCCCCGTGCTCAGCAGCCTGCTCTTGGCTGGCCGGGCCGGGCAGGTCCTGCAGAATGGCCATCGTGTGGCCACGGTGGACAGCTCAGGGCCTCTCTCGCGGTCTCTTGTACACCGTGAGCGCCAGACCCGGCTTCTGCTCGAACCATCTGAGCGACCATGTTTTTCCTGGGACGTGGATCTCACGACACATGAAGGCGGGCCTGCCAGGGCCTCCGAGTGGGAGCCCCCTGCAGTGGCGACAGCACAGCAGGAATCGGAAGTAAGACAAGATGACAAACAGCCGATACGCCGGGCGAGGTCCTCGGCGTGAATGGGGGAGGGGGCTGCCGTCGCCCCGCAGAGCGGGC